AGGTGGACGAAAATGCAGAAGCCTTAAGCAAAGTAGAACCCAAAATTGTTAACCAAGTAGAACTCGAATTAGCACCAGTTTAGGAATCGAGAGAACAATACAACAATTCCAAGCCCAAATCCAAATTCCTTCCAAATAATCATGCCCTCAGAAATCGAAATTTCCCTTCCGTGAATAAAAAATTACAGATTGAAAGAAAAAAAACCAGAAAAAAAATATTGGTTAAACCAATCACTCAGCAAATTGCCTTAAATTTTTCCTGTTGAATATAAAAGTATATGAGAATGATAATTACTTAACAATTTGCTTAGTTTTTGCTTAATAAGAGCATTTTAAACGAACAAAGAATTTTAAGGAATTGGTTGGTTCTTATTATGAGATATAATAAGAAATTTTTTTCCTAAGTAAAATAAGTTAATGCTGGGAAATTTTTTCCGGCTGGTATTACCAGCCTCGCCCAGACCGATTTTATAAGTTTCTTTGATATAAGTCTTTAACATGGAGCACAGGAACACTCTGAATGGTTTGAATTTCCCTATAAATTATCCTCTATAGCTCCTGACAGCAGAAATAAGCTTAAACCATCTTTGGTTTTTTTATGAATGTAGTTGGTGTATTCATAAATTATCTGTAATTCTCTTGTTTGCTCGGTTTTCGTTAATTCGTTTCGCTCATTCTCATTAAATTCGATATTCTCTCCCGTAATAAAGCATAGTCCACTAGTTCTGGTTCTGAAAGGGTCAATAGTTAAAGTTCGCATTCTGTTTGTCTAATTCGCTTTCAGCTCATCCTTTGGCCAATGTTCTTGGGCTTGCTTTTCCAACTCAGCTATTTTGTTGGGGGTAAAAAAATTAGGATCAGCTTCTATCTTTTTAAGTTCAATCTCAAAACTTCACGCCTTGGGCTCTCAACGACCATTAATGTAAACATATTCTTTGCCTTCAACCATTTTTCTTGAAGTATCTGTTTTACTAAGAAATTCGTCAGGAACAACACGACT